GAAGACTCAAGACAGCCATAACATTATGATTTTTTACAAGTGTATGTACACTTTTGACCACAACTGTACTTCTTTCTCAAAGCTGGTAAAAAAAAAAGAGCACTGCTGTGATGACTTCCTGAAGGCGGAGTTTCAGAAACAGCAGGAGTTTCTTAAAGACACAGAGGTCCAATTTTAAGGCGTTAAATTATGAAGACAGATTTCTTTTAAGTCATCTTTGATATATCAGACAAGTTTATTTGTATAGCACAATTTTCAGCAGCAACACAGTTCAAAGTGCTTTACATCATAAAAACACAAAAGTAGAAGTCATAAAAGACAGTCAACAACTGGAGCTTTACATTTTGTCAAGTCCCATCGTTACACATCAGAATATCGATTAATATTTTATTATGCTTCATATACACAACACCTTTCTATCAACTGAAGGTAACCTAGCTAATTGACACTGCCCTTTTATATAATAAAGTACCTGGAGAAAACGCAACACTTCCCCTTTAACTTCCTCAGCCTTCTTGAAGATTGTTGCTGACCACGTCCATCCGTTTACCACCACTTTGAAACCATATCGTCACCTCAATATCCAGCTAGATCCTGCACCATGTGACAAAACTCAGCTAATCTTATACCAGTTTCTAAAATATGGCAATGGGTTCACTGTATTCCAGTGGCTCCAGTCCAGTTGGGCTCCTTGGTGACGTGGTGCAACAGGAAATTGACATGGATGTGCATCCAAAGAATCTGCAGGAACTGCATGATTGGAGTATGGCCTAAAATCTGATGGATGTTTCTGACACCTGTTGAATCTATATGGGACGCAGAAAGAAGGGAGTCCAGCCCCGTACTAGCGTGTGTAACTAATGCGATGGCTGTTGATCGCATATCGTCACCAGTTTTAACTAGAGTTTGATTGCTTATTTGGTTTAGTTGGTTATGTCTATGTACGTGTGTCAAATGTTCTTATAACCTTCCTTCTTTGTTCCGATTGGATTTATCAGGCTTGCTGGTCGGTGTGATCCTGCGTTACGGCATTCCAGCCACCAGCTACCACAACAAGACCCCCCCAAGCTGCTCACTGAAGGAAGGACCTTCCAGCACCCTGCTGCTCAATGTCAGCGGCAAGTTCTTTGAGTACACCCTAAAAGGGGAGATCAGCTTCAGGGAGATCCACAATGTGGAGCAGAACGATATGCTGCGCAAGGTAAGCAAAAGGAAAAGTTGTCTACATTCTGCTAATTTCACCAATCAATTGGGAATTTCTCGTCCCTCTCCAGGTGACCTTTGACCCTGAGGTTTTCTTCAACATTTTGCTCCCTCCGATTATTTTCCATGCTGGGTACAGTCTGAAGAAGGTGAGATATTGCGCGGTCTGGCTGCTTCTGAGATTAAGTGAAGCGACACAGTTACGTGAGGTGAGGCTGAGTCCGGCTGAAGTGTCTGCTGACACAGTGTTTCATTGGACAGACGGCTCGCAAACTAAACCTGTCATTGGCCAGACTGTGAGAACAGTCAACATAAGTGTCTCTTTGAAGGGAAGTTCAGACCAGATGTCTTTCGTTTCCTCTTTGACATTTTTGCTGGCTCAGAAAAACGGCTGACAGTAGAAACAGTTTTTGCTTTTGTCTTCTTAAAGCGACTGGGTTTTATTTGGAGAATGGTAATTTGGATTTTAATTGCAAACGTTTTCACCATTTTCATGGGGTCAATTTCTAGTAAAGTTCATAGCTGTCCATAATGTTTATTACATTGGAACTAGGCATGGGATGGGACAGTGTAAGATTCAAGCTGCTGGTCAATCTGACACTTTCTTTGGCATCTCATTAAAAGTATAGGAACAATCAAATATTTTTTTGCAGTTTGGAAACCTTATCCTTTTAAAACCTTGGTGTGTGACCACTCTATTCCAAGATGCAGTATCTAAATCTTTATGATTCACAGACTTTGGTTAACTCAATTCAATTCAAATTCTGAAATACTTTATTGATCCCAGAGGGAAATTAAATAATATGACAATATTGCCCTTGTTGCCCTGGCATGTGACACATGGCAGGGCAACAAGGTAAATGGTTTACTTTGTAGGGTTGACTGAAAAAATTCAGCAATCTTGCTTGGAAATGTATTATGCTGGATAGAACAAAAGCTTTTGGTTTTGTAATAATTAAAAACACTTTAATTGCCTTTCCTCCATGTATAGGACTGTGCGCTTATTATCAAATTCTGGCTTGTTTGTTTTAAAATAAGCTTATTTTAATTACTATTGGGTGCATGCCCATCCCTTGAAGGTTTTGTATATTACATTAGCTTGGGATGCTGGTACCAGTCCTGGAAAGTAAAACCCAACATCAACGTGTTGCAGTTGGATGAATCCAGTGTTGTCTGCCAGTTTTTGTGTGCAGTGACCAGGCTTGTTACTGTTAGCATTAAAAGCATTTTCCTGCATTCTGTGCAGTCACATAGTAACTGTACTTTGACTGAGTTCTTACAGCCATTGGGAGCCATATTGGAGGCCCAGTTGGGTTGAGGGCCTTCAGTTTTCCAGGAATTCTGACTGAACATTCATGGTGCTATCTTTGGTTTGTTTGTAACCAGTTTAAGCAGTATTGCTTTATCTAAAATACTTAGTTTTCACTTTTAAGGATTTCAGGAACTAGCAAATATTTTGCACTCTTTATCTACCTTTGATTACCAATAAAATTGTACACTGTCTCAAAAGGTCTTGACAAGGAAAGCGAAAGCTAGCTAGCTATCACAGTTAGATCTCGTTAAAACAACCGAAGTAGAACATTTACAGATGATGTTTATCATGGTTTTTTTCCAAGATACTGTGTTCATAAATAATTATTCTAAAACCTTTTAGAAGGGAGTACAACTGAAATGAAAATACAAAGTATTAGTTAGTACTTTGTATTTTCATTTATTGATTAGCTCTTTAGCATCAGACAACTACCCTAACCTCATTATTTACTATCTATTCGGGTTTAGCAGAACTTTTTAGGTTCCTACTTAGTGAATTTTGAACATTTCGTGTTTCTTTCTTCATGTTAGAATTTGCTGAGTCAAATGATAGTCCTCAGGAAAAGGAAGAACGGGGTCAGGTCAGCTAGAAAAGCTCAGTTTTTTCACACTCATGAGTATAATTTTTGTTTTTGCTCATTTTAAGCAGCATTTTAAACACCAAAGCCACTCAGATTTGCAACTGATGTGTCATTTTTATATATATAAAATTAGCTCAACATTACTAAGCTGAGTTGTCACTGATCAGAATGTCAACAATTAAATTTGATCATTGGGACCATTTGAGAGGAAGACGCATATTTCCTGTTTAAAAAAAAAGCAAAAAAAAAAAACCTGAATCAGCTGTTTTCATGTTACTTTGCAGGGACAGTCAGATGGGCTTGATCTGGAAGTCATCTGTGTTTCGCTCCTTGTTTGTTTTAAAAGCAGTCAACCAGCTGGATGTGTGTTTGTGTGTCTGACTGAGCCGTAGCAGTCACTGACCTGAAGGTTTCAGCTAGAAGACGTATTTATTTATCAGCATGATCAATGCTGTTCTCAAGCATACAGATGTTTTTTTCCCCTCACACTTGCTCACAAAACAATTACATTTGTCTTTAGTATATTCCTTTTCCCCCCTTTTTCAGAGACACTTCTTCAGAAATCTTGGCTCCATCATCACCTACGCCTTTCTCGGCACTGCAGTTTCATGCTTTGTTATCGGGTGAGGTTATCCTCTCTGTTCATCAATCTTAAGAGATAACTCTTCCCTGTTCCACCCCCCCTTCAAATGAATACCTCTCCTCTGCTTGCCCAACCCCAGGAATCTGATGTACGGCGTGGTGAAGCTGATGAGGGCGGTCGGACAGCTGACTGAGAAGTTCTACTACACTGACTGCCTTTTCTTTGGGGCCATCATCTCCGCCACAGACCCAGGTACAACTCAAGAGCAATGAAATACGCGTTCCAGCTGTGGACTAACTGTGAATGTGGCTGTTTGCTCGGATCTCTTGTTAATAGTTGACATGTGCTTGCAGTGACTGTGTTGGCGATTTTCAACGAGCTCCATGCAGACGGGGATCTGTACGCTCTGCTGTTCGGAGAGAGCGTCATGAATGATGCTGTGGCCATTGTCTTGTCCTCGTAAGTCATGTTATCAGTTCAGTGATGCTATTGTCAGAAATATGGTCCTTACCTTTAGTGGAAAAATATCATATTGTAGTGAATTTGTAGACATTTCTGAAGACAGGATTAGTCTGATTATACTTTTACCGTTACACTGTTTCAAAGTTTCAATTCACATTGAAAAGGTAATGTTTATTGGATGCAATGCTGCTTTAGTAGGTGCAGCACATGCTCACTTTCAGAAGACTTGCTGTTTTAATCTGCATGATTAGTTGTGAGTAGTCACTCCACTGTATAAAAATTAGATACTTAAGTGATATTTGAAGTTTTCCGCTTGATGCTCACGGTGACACACAACCCAGTCCACCATTTTCTAGTAGAGATCCATGGCCTCAGACTTGAGCATGTTCAGTTTGAGTTACTTAAGATGGCAAAACATAAAGTAAAATGGTGGCTCCTGTCCGACTAACCCCTTCCTGTACACAGAGGATTCCTTCACTTTTCCATATGCACCCTAACTGTAAGGAGACTTCTCAAAATGTCATTCCAAAAAAAATCCAAAGTCGCTTTTTTAGCTGAGCAGATTTGTGCTACATATTGTTTAAGGGGAAATAAAGAGAAGTATTTGAACAGATTAGGTTAAAAGTTACTTTGCAAATCAAACTGTTTTCATGCACAGCATGTAAGCACTCTGCAGTAGACCTTCACCTCTTTTTCGAATGTCATGTTTCTCCTTAAATCAGTGTATTTTATTTATGTTTATGTTCCATTTTGGTGTTTACTGATATACGGGTTTCAACCAAATCGGTTTTTCAAGTTGTTGAATTTCACACTGATTTGTGAAACCTGCTTCCTTTCATCGCTGCTCCTCCTTGACACATGGCGCTCTACCGCCCTCTAGTGGATGACATGAACCACTTGTTTCTATATAGGAATTTGTTGGGATGCTCCAGGTGGTTAATCTATTTTTCAAAAAGACACTTGTGATAAAAATTTAATGCAAGCTCAGTGATACCAAAGTGAGTGTTGATAGTTATGATTTTGACCCATACCAGAATTACACTAACTAAGTATGCCTTGTGTGTTTTTCACATCTCAGCTCCATCATGGCCTACCAGCCTGCTGGTGCAAACACACACATGTTTGACGCCTCGGCCTTTTTCAAGTCTGTGGGAATTTTCCTGGGGATTTTCAGCGGCTCCTTTGTGATGGGCGCAGCCACAGGCGTCGTCACGGCTCTCATATCCTGCTCTGTGCGCACACTTTAAACTCCAGCCTCATTCTAGACCATTTTCTAAGAGCCTGGGTCGTGTTGTTTCTGTTGAGTGTGGTTGATGAAAACGCAACTCCTTGTTGGCCTTTAACTGGACTCTACGTCACCAAGTTCACCAAGCTGCACTGCTTCCCTCTGCTGGAGACGGCGCTCTTCTTCCTCATGTCCTGGAGCACGTTCCTGCTGGCCGAGGCCTGCGGCTTCACCGGTGAGCCGTCTTCATTTTATTACATTCAAGTGTGTGCCATGAAGAGATTTCCTTACAAAGTTTGGAACTTGATTTGGACCTTTTTATCATCTAAAAAAAGAATTTTGTTTTAGTTTCCCATAAATATATGATTCATTTTCCCTGCATTTTAATAAGATGGTGCCTTCGTCCGCTAGATCATCATGAGGTATTTCAGCACTAAAAAAATTTAATAATGCCCTAACATTACAAATTAAGGTTTAAAAAATAACACTGCAGACAATTAATCCTCCAGAGACACAGTGAAGGAGCTTGTTGATTTATCTTTATGATGAATTGTCCCGCCAGCATGCCTGTGTGATGCAGCATGTTGGTGGAGTTGGCTGTAACACGCGTGTGTTGTTCTCCAACAGGTGTTGTGGCCGTGCTGTTCTGTGGCATCACCCAGGCTCACTACACGTGCAACAACCTCTCTGAGGAGTCTACAAAACGCACCAAGCAGGTAGCATCTGACCGGGGGGGGGGGGGGGGGGGGGGCCCCAAAAAAAAGTCATAATTTTTAACCCCACTAAAATTCCCCCCCAACCC